ATTTAAGTAAATTTCGGACCCTGACGAAAAGCGAAGAATGAAAGTTTTAAATAGTTCCTAAAATTAGGGTAATAAATTGTAATACTTTACTTCTTTGCTGAAAATTTTTCGAACGGCAAGTTCTCTATTTTCAAAATAAACTCCTTATAGTTTTCCGTAAGCATAAATACATTTTTCAAAAGACATTTTTTATGCATTATAATAATAAAAATGAAGATTTCTTTAATAATTTATTTATATTAATATTCTTATGTTATATATGTACATATACAAATATATTTTACTATATTAATATGTATTTATTTCATTACTGATTTCTTTAATAATTTTTATATTTGCCTAGCAAATGTAAATATGGCAACGCTTCTTCGCTCTCTAATAATAAAACACACCTTTGACAGGCAAGTAACATCCGCCGAAATAGCTCAGTTGGGAGAGCGTTAGACTGAAGATCTAAAGGTCCCCGGTTCAATCCCGGGTTTCGGCAATTCCTACTTTTTTGTTCCATATTTTTTTTTTATACAACAGAAGAAAAAAAGTTTGTATTAATAATTTTATACGCCGCACATTTTTAATTCAAATAGTTTGTGCAAAGTATATTTATATTAAAAAAATTCAATTATTTAAAAAAACGAAAATAAAAATAAATTTTCCATTGCCGAAACCCGGGATTGAACCGGGGACCTTTAGATCTTCAGTCTAACGCTCTCCCAACTGAGCTATTTCGGCAGTTGGATGGTGAGTAACAAATAACACATTTGTCAGCATCGGCAAAAAGAACCAAACCGAAGCCGGTGTTCTATGCGAAAGTATGTTGAATAAATGTACGTATGTATCTGCAAAATCCACCATACCCACTTAAAGATGGTCGGCAAAAATATTGCCACATTACGAGTTTTCCATGAGCCACCTATGTATATAAAAACAGGATTTTGAAGTTTCCATGAAACATACATACTTATAATTACATTCTAACTAAAAATTTGTAAAAATAAAAACAAGCTATTTATTTCTTTGCAAGAGTACAACAAATTCCCCTTTGCGTGTCGCATAATTCTTCTCCCCCTTAGCGGTTTGGTGATTTTTATGAATTTTGTTGTTGAACTTATGGGTTCACCTTGATGGGCAAAAGCCACAGTTGCGCCCTTAAATTTGTCTCAACATATCACAAGGTTCTAATAGAATATGCGATGTGAAAAATTGTATTGATGCTCAATTTTGGCTCCTATTATTCTATTTTTGAACTCCATCAAATCTTTGTGCCTTATCATGAGTTTCATTTTCCCCGGACCGGTTCAATTTTCACTTTTTTCCATGTATTTACTATGGGTGGATGACAAATTTTCGGGTTATTTTTTTCGGGCGAAACTCAGCATATGGAAGATTTCGACATTTAATTTGCGAAAATTTAAAATTTCACAGTTTTCCCAGTTGCGAGGGATTCACGCCTTCAAATGAATAGCAAATGAATAGCACTAAGAGTGGAATACGCACACAAGCGGCTTGTGGAACAAACTTCAAACCTACTTTTCCCATTTCGCCATACACCATGCAAGCATGACACGTTCATGCAAAGAATTTTAGTAATGTAAATTTATTTATATTTTTTTCATTTTTCTCTTTTTCGGCCTCACCCGGTGAAAATTTTTTGTCACAATTTATTTTTTGTTTTTATAGAAACAAATACGAAAAAGGCAACGAATCAGCTGTTGATAATCAAAATTTACCAGACTATTTTGAGCGTGAAAAAATTAGATACTTGAGGGCTGGAACATGAATCGACTAGGTGCTTAAACAAGTGGACTTCTCCATAAGTATATACATAATAACCCAAAAATTATAGTAACCAAAAATATAGGGTTAATTATATTGGCAGTTTGTATAAATAGGCAAAAAAGTGCTTTCACTCTAAGATGGTTCAAAAATATGACATATCCTAAAATACTAAAAAATAAGGCACTACATTAGCCATGCCAAAATGGTTGTAATATAATTTACAATGAGTATATCATTCAACGTTTAATATAGGCGAAGCCGGGGGAAAGTCCGGTATGTATGCAAATCGCCATGTGACTACTCTTCTATGCATGTAACGGTAATTTTCTAATTAATGGTGCATTTCGTTACAACAACCTTCAATTATTTATGAACTAAGAGGACATGACCTCGAGTTTCTTACAACTGAGAATACTGGGCGGGTTTTAATACTTGTTAATGACAAAATTTTTGAGACAGTGACAATTGTAGGATTGTCCCAACCTACGCAAAATTTTCTACTGTTAGTTCAACTTATTTATGCAGGTATCTGTTTAGGAAAAATTAATTATTTAATTATATAAAGTCTAGCAGTTACCTCATTTGAAAACAAAACAAAAATGTGCGTAGATCCCAACCGCGACTGAAATGAAAATTCTTTCTGTTACGCAAATAGCTCATCATATTATATGAGCATTTTCCCCATAATAATTAACAATTATCTGCCTCTCAGATACAACTTTAATCGTGCGCAATCACGCCCACCATTCCTCCTACTTCTGAAGTTTTTTTTCGTTTCACCGAAGTTTGAATTTACGTCCAACAACCAAAGAAATTTCACTTCAAGAAATATGGTAGCCTCTAATTCTAAACCGGTCTGTGTTTATTCTTTACATCATCTGTGGTGAGTATTTATTCACTCACCTAAACACGTTTTTCATCTATTTTTCTTTGCCAATCAGAAAAAACGTTATTGACTATAAATAGCGCATTTGGCAACAGAATGACATGTGCCGAAATAGCTCAGTTGGGAGAGCGTTAGACTGAAGATCTAAAGGTCCCCGGTTCAATCCCGGGTTTCGGCAGTCGAAGTTATTTTTGGCCCTTTTTTTATTAAATTAAAATATTTATACAAATACATGCAATAGACTTTTTTTAATATTTAGAAGTATTTTGTTTAATATTTAGCTATATTTATACACATTTTTGAGATCCGGAAAATTCTTAATAAGCCGGAGGGAGTGTGGCCCGCTAAACCCTTTGCATTAGAAAGGGGGCAGTCCGCACTTTATAAAAACCCACTCCCCTCCCTTGGATCCTCCCGCAGACCCTTAGGGAACTGTTTCAAAATGGGGAAAATGGAATTTACTGCGGAAAACTGAGCAGTTTGAAGTGGAATAGAACCCAACCAACACAAACCGTGTGATTTTTTAATAAAAGAAATTATGCCGTTGGTTATCGGGCGTTTTTGTATATAAAAGTTTCACTAAAAATATTGTTATAAAAAAAAAATCGTGGCAGGTGTACACGTTATAGTAATAAGATAGTATTTTAGCGCAGACCTTCTTTCTGCGTAGGCGGCCTTCGGCCTTTTCCTAACCTTTCCTAAGTAGAATTCTCCTTTCTTTGTTGCCGAAGAAGAGAGGCTGAACACCTTTTGCAGAGAACGAGAGCATATATTTTCCATGAAAAGGCTTATATTTTTAATGCTTACTGGGTTATATCTTATTTTCTTTTGTCTCTCGTCCTTCTTGCATAAATTGCAGTTTGACAGCTGAATCCCGCCATTTAATTTGCATATGCCGCCAAAGGCACAAGTGTAGTTTGCAAGGTGTTTTTATTTATTATATTGTGTATTTTGTGTAATTTGTAGAAACTAAAGGAATAAAAGAAGTTATAACGAATAGAATAAAGTGAAGACGAATACAAAAACGTATTGATGAAGTGGCATATTTAAAAAAAAATTTCTAAATAAATTACGGGCCTAAAATAACAAAGGTAGGTGTTAAAATAATGTGTAGACCATTGATTGCAAGTGTGTGGAATTTTTTTATGTATTAAGGCACCCCTTTGCACGCAATAGCGCGAAATAGTTGGGCCATTTACCATACCATACCCAACTTCGCTAAGGGCAGCATCTGAAGGCATCTCAATGAATGCCACTTTTCCTCGCATAAACGAATTTCTCAGTACCTATATCGGCGGCTGAGTGGAAGATCACCTGGAACAAGTGCAGAATAAGGTCCGTTTTTCGAAAATTCCCCCTTTGCCACTCTATAGCACCTGCAATATAAGTTTGCTCCAAACAATTTGTAAACCATTAGAATCAGAAAGAAAGGGCGGACCACGCCCACTTCTTCGTCTATTTTCTAGCTTAACGGGACGTATTCTGCACTTATGCCGACCACCCTATCTCAGTAAATGGTAGAAGAACGCACTATTTGAGAATTTGTTAAAAAAGAATAAAACTATAAATTCAATTTGCTGAGATAGCCCGATCCTCCACTCAACCTTTGATTTACTAACGAACCAAGTTTTTGTCGGCATTTTTTTATACTAAACTATAAACAATTGTTACAAATTAAGTTTTTTGGACATTTATTGTACGAGTATATTTCACTTTTTTATGCATATAAAATGTATTTGTATAAAAATGTTGTTTTCTTTTAAAACGATATCTTATTAAATATTTTATACCATGTCTATGATTATAGTTGCTGTGTTCGTCATATTCAATATTAAGTTAATAATTTAGTTGTGCTTTAATAACTTATCTATATTTATAAAAAAAATTTAAATAAATATGTATAAAAGAAAAAGGGGATTAAAGTACTTGTTACAGTTGCATTTTCTTATTTGAAAGCATACATATTTTATTAGTGTTTTTGGTCAAGCGTTTAAGCATTTCCAAAACATTTGCTGTATTTTGTAGAAAAAAACTAAAACTATTAAACCTGATTTTTATGTGTTTTTGACACTAATGCGTGGAAAAAAAAAATTTAGCATGTTATTTAATGCAAGTTTTTTTTTCCATATAAAGATATGTATATGTAAAGAAATAAAAGCATTGCGAAAATTTCAATTTCAATTTTTTCTTATAACAATTAAAATTAAGCTGCTTATAACACATTTAATTTAAAATATATGAAATCTGTTAAAACCAAATTTTTTAATTAGTACCGAAAATAACACAGGCCAACAAAATTTAAACAATGTTATATTGACTAAAATATTACAGCTTATTCTTATAGGATTTTTCCCGTAGAATCTGAATCGGACCGTAAAGATATAGGATTGGCTCTAGTTTCGAGCAACTTAGATTAAAAGGTGGCGAAAAACGCATTTGTGGACACTTTCGAGCCTCTGTAAAACAATAAACTGATGCATCAAAAAATTATGGTTAAACGGCACCTTTAAACCTAAGTTGCTCGAAAACTAGAGCCCATCCAATATATTTACGGTCGTATTCGTATTCTAAGGGAAAAATCCTACAAGAATCGGCTACAATATTTTACATAATAGAATTTTGTTGGGCAGTGTAATCTATCAAGTCCTACATATATTTATGCATATATTTAGTATTTTTTGTTGTCAATTCCAAAGTAAAATATAAAATAAACCTCTAACCCCTCTGCTACTATGTATGTCTCAGTCACTTGTTTCCATGCCCCTCGCTGCTTAAAGTATACAATTCGAGTTGAGTTGAAATGGCGCGAGGTCCTTCGTTATCGCCAGCGGTGCACCATCGCATGTTAGCTTATAAGCCAAAGCCGCCAAATTGCGCGCATCATCGATACCTGAATGTTCACGCCCCTCAAATGCGAGCCCCACATGCGACAATGCATCTGCGAAGTTGATGGGCTTGTACTTATACCATTCACGAAAGATTGCTCGCAAATCTATCCATTGATTAAAATAGGTTGGCTTCTTCAGTCGCTTCCGCTGGCATTCCTTCGCCAGGCAAATGCCGAAATCCCAGTCAGTCCAGGTGACAAAAGCACAATTGCCAATAAGCTTATCTTTGGACATTTTTGGCAGTTGTAAATTTCGTGCACGCAGCTCTTTGCGTAACCACTCTTGGAACATCATTATGGCGGTTTGTAGCGGCATGCCATTGTCGACACTTTGCTGCTTTATGCCGGTCAGTTCGGTACAGAAAGCGCTTAATTTGGGTGACTCGATGGGCATGACATATTTGTGAAATTCTGCTTCAATTTTGCCTGTCTGCAGATTTACCATCACCGCAGGAAATTCTGTGTATAGAAGATATGAAAACATGATAAGAAGATAATTAGAAATGTGTCGAGTATGTTATTACCGATAATTTCGGCTTCACGCCATTTAGGTGGCGCCTGATTCTCCCAGCAAGTCGCTTCAAAATCCATGCATATCAAATATTTGTATGGCTGCATCGATAACTGTGGTTTGCGCAGCTTTGTTAAGTAACTAGAATTATTTTTGTCAGTGCCTGATTCACCTTCGACGTATATGGTTTCGAGGAGGCCTAGTTGTCTGCAAGGAGAAAAAAATTAAATGTAATTAAAAACTATAAATAAAATTAGACATTGGTGTGAATAAAAGGACATGCGATCGAATAGCTAAAAACTAAAGACACACACACAGGGCACACTCTGCAGGACTTATATACTAATCTCGGATGACGTTAAAAACTTGTGTTGCCTACATTTCTCTACTTCTTGCCATAGCACACCACCATAGGCTTTTGCCGCAGTACAAAACCATTGGTTTCCGTCAACGCTTTAGAAACCGCCGCCGCCGCATCGACTTCACTCAGCCCGTTGAAAGTCACAAATGCTTGTCCCTTCATGCGTCCCTGCTGCATCACTTTGATATCCAAGCAATCAGCTGCTACAAAGCGTGAATACAGCTGCCTGAGATCTTCCTCACACACATCTTTGGAAAGATTTTTGATATACAATTTATTAGTAGGCGCACCAATTTGATAATTTTTATAAATAGGTAATTCCTGCAGCTGTTCGACTGTGAGTCGTTCAGCACTGAGCTCAATGGGAGGAACAAATGCTTCTAGAGATTTCTTTGGCTTTTGTGGCTGCAGTTTCAAAGCAATTTTTCTCGCCTTGCCAGCTGTAGCTGTCTGCTCGAACACATTTTGTAGCTCACTAGACTTGCTACAGCTGTCAGCTGTTGCATCCGCCTGGTTGGATTGTTTTTGTTGATGCAGTGTCGCTTGTAGCAGCTGACGTGCCTTCTTTTTATACTGCTCCTCCAAATCGCCAACTCCTTTACGCTTCAATATTACTTTATTTGAAGTGCTTCCGTGCGTTTTGTTGCCTCTGCATTCATCCTCTTCGGATGACTCTAGCTCAGATTCAGATTTCTCTGTTTGCCTGCGACTTTGCTCCACATTTAAGGTTTTCTCGACTCTTGCTTCCACATTTAAGACTTTCTCCACTCCTACTTCCACATTTTCATTGGCAGTTTGCGTGCCTACATCACGCGGCCATCTTCGAAGCAAACTCATACCGGTCGGTTTAGTGCCAAAAGGTGGTTCCAGATTCATGCGATTCATTAAGTGCAGCACTTGTGTATAGAAGCGTGTATTGCTCATCAAGGCAATGCTTATAGCATCCAATATGTCTGGTGTGATGCGTGGATATGCGTACTTAAGGTATGGTGGTGGCGGTTGCACGAAATTCAATTTAGCATCACATGCATACAGCTTGGACACGTACTTGCTGATTTGGGGTGCCGCCGCATCGCCAGCTGTGTGCAAACTCGTCTGCGTTGTTTTGCTGGATGTCACTTTTTTACTGGGTTTCACATTAGCGGCTGGCTTTTCATTTTTGCGAAAGAAAGCTGCATTCAAATGCTTGCCGGGTATGAGCTCCAATTGTTGCAACTGCTGCAAAACGGTCTGAGCAACTGCCTCATTTTCGTATGTCACCAGTACGCGTCGCCGCCCGAATTGTTTCAATTCCTTTGGTGCATAGGGTAGGAGATTTGTAATGTCGCTAATTGATTTTGGTATATTTTTTATCAGCAGCGTCGATGCATCGGAATTATCCATTTTTTATATAGCAATCTTGATCGCTATTGGAGGAAAGTTAATTTGACCATACACACTGTCTTTGAGCTGTTCCACGGCGTGATAGCTTCGCAGGTTGGTTTGCAATAATTAATTTATCCAATTTCCGATGAACAGGAAAAAATGTTTAGGGCTACAGCAAAAATATTAAAAATTAAATCCAAAAGTATTTTTCAGCCAGCTAAAATTTCGTTTGCAATAAAATTCACCACCCAAAACAAATATGCTTCTTCTTCACCTGGCAGGGTTGCTTTTTTCAAGTCCATAGAGGAAAATATCCTAAACCGATTCGCGCTAGCCGCATAAATGTCCAAAACCGATTCATCGATAGCGCGATCTGGGTAATTTTCGTTAGCTCGTTTCTTGCTTTTGGTAATACCGCCCATCTTTATAATTTAGTTGGCAACGTGGTCTAAAAAAGCGCTGCCCAGCCAGCAAAAAATCCGAAAATGAATCTGCAAAAGGAAAAAAGTGGAGAAAAGCGGATTATTGTCCGTTTACCGATTCCATTTTCTGTTACATTGATAATACGTTTTCCCACTAAAATATGCGGCAAAACGTATGTACAGACAAGTACCGAAAAATGTTGTGAAATGGATACGGCTGATTTTCTGAAATTCGTCTGATTAAATTTTTCGTTCAATACGCTTTCCTTCTGCACTTCACATATACTTTTTCATGGTTCGAAAAAAAATGTACGAAGTGACTTAGTGGCACGTTCTTCTGTACGCACAGTCACTGCCAACTATGTATAAGTACATGCTTTCAAATGTTCAGCTTGAACAATGAACCGCACTGTCGGCAAAATTTACATTTCTCTGCTGGATGGGAAAATAATAAAAAAAAATTCTATCACGGACATTTTCACAGAAAATTCGTTTTTCAATTTCATTTTTTGTTACCGTTTATTACTGGCGCTAACTTCGCATTTCCATAGGTCTTTCTGATTTACATACGTCGTCTTTAAACGAAAACCGTTTTTTTTCAAGAAAAAATGTAATTTTATATTAATTAATTTTAGTTTTTTTTTATAAAAATTCCAAATATTACATTTTCGCTTTCTTTTGTGTCCATAGGCCATTCTGATCCGCTTAATCCCTTTAGGTGAATTTTTAACTAATACTTTTTGTTTTTAAGTAAAAATTTAATTTAAAGTTCACGAATATTTCATGAAAATTGTTGAAAATTATAAAACAAGTTTGTTTTTAATTTAACATACCTATGCCCGGATGCTTCAATCAATTTTAAATTTATCAGCCTGTTAAAATTCAAAATTACACAATTTTGTTTGGAAAATTTGTAATTTTAAATTTTAACAGTTTGATAAGTTTTAAAACTGATTGGTGAAACTTGACTTAATTTTCCCTATAAGTGTTTCAAACTAGGGACGCACAAGGTTATTATCTGTATAACAAAGATTTTAATTATTTATTATAATCGTTAAAATTGGATTTCTATTTTTCCGAATAATTTCTGATGTTTATTTTTAACCGACTTCAAAAAAGGAGGAGGTTAGCAATTCGTCGGAATCTTTTATTTTTTTTATTAACTGATTTATTTAATTCTGTTTTTAAAGGAAAGGCGGTAGCTCAGAGGTGGTCTCATATTAATTTGGTTTAGATCTTATCATTGGATCCTGAAGAAATTAACGGTAATCTTAAATATTTATATGAGAATTCGATCATATTATAACCGTTATTTTCAGATTTAGTTTTTTAGATTATAAAATATTTAAATCAGTCACAAAAACGTAGTCTTTATTATAACGGTTAAAAATGATCGAAAAAATCCCAAAATAACTGTGGCATTTGACCGACAAACTATAAATCCATAAATAAAAAAACTGCATGAACTTTTTAAGTCACCCTTCTCAGTCGTTGTCGTCAAACTCAACTAACGGAAGACCCAAGAAGTGTGCAGCCTTTATAGGTTCTGTCCATAGGGACAAAGGCGTCAGCTGAGTGGGGTTTTATGGGGATGCGAAGAGATGATTCGAGTCGTGGGGTGTCTCTCCGCATGCCGGACACTCATCGAGCATCTAATCGGCTAAGGTATGAGTTCAAGCTGCTGCAGTAGCCAGATCGAAATTAGGCTATTGTGGTCCGAGTCTCTCTAGGCAGACGAAACTCTGTCTCGTCCACGTCAGGTGGGTGTGTGGTCAGATGATGTTGTGGCGACATCAGAAGACATCCGGTCTGCCGTAGTGCTATATTTTGTGTCGTCTGTAGCTTCATCCACTGCGTCGTACTGGTTCCCGGCGACACACTGGTGCTGCATAGCTTAGAACCGGCCGGCCAATTGCCTTGTGTGTTGCCAGCAACGCTTCTTTGTCTTTGCCCCAGGTACTGCCGGCTGGCGACTTGAAGGCCTTGTTGCGGTTGTGTACCTTGTTGACAACTGCGGTTGTATGGGCGGAGAAAGACCGCAGACTGTCGAATGTTACTCCGAGGATTTTAGGGCTATTCACCATCGGAATGGCTATGTCATCAACGTGAATACTCAGCTGCAGTGTGACATACTTCGTCCAAGTGGTGAACAGGGTAGCTGACGATTTTGTTGGGGAGGGGCTTAGGCTCCTAGCAGTGAAGAAGTGAGAAAGCTCGGAGAGGTAACCGTTTACTTTCGAGCACAAATCATCAATTCCATTCCCAGACGCCATTATCGAGCAATCGTCAGCGTAAGTGATAATCGAGACTCCCTTTGGTGGTTGAGGACCTTACTGGGGAAAGGACACCACCCTGTTTTATTTTTCTGAGTTTGCTCGATTTGCCTCCCAAGCACTACTGAAGAGTGTCGACTACTCAGATAATTCGCCGACCACCGTTTGAGTCTCTGTGGGAGAGAGGAAGCTTCTATGTCTGACGCTACTAGAACAGTTCTCTCAGATGATTCGTAAAATACGGGAGTAGTAAGACCTCTTGTGTCTTCGCTACCGGAGAAAGCAGTGTTATCGGGCGTTAGGACTCTCCTTCGTTGGCTGGTTTCACCGGTTTGAGCAGTCGGACCACTCTGCCATATTCCAGATTTATGGAATGACGAGAGTGGCCATTGACAGGTTGAGGACCTTGGCTAAATTATCTACTCCCGCAGGAACCAAATTTTTTAGCATCGACATGCATATTCCGTCGGATCCCATTGCTTTGGAGGCTTTCGCCTTCCCGATGGATACTTGAACTCCACCGCAAGTGAATACAAGAGGCGCACTTGTTGGTAGTTTGTGCAGCCTTCTGGTCACTCGGCGTTTGGCTTTGTTCGACGGAGGATGCAGTGTAAACTTTCGGCTAAAAGACCTATTACAGGTCGTAGAGCTGGCCGAGTAATTCACGAAACTGCGGGTGCTAACCTTGAAAGTAGGATAAAAACTTTAAGATTATTTTGCTATCTATTTACCTTCATACATATGTAGTACATATACACAATAATCTATACCAACGATACCTATTCATAAATTAAAAAAATAATGAGCAAAAAATACGATACATTTCAATTTATATAAATTTTAATCACCCTCCATGGTGTCATTGTCAGATCTCTTTGTTTGCTTCCTCGAATTGTTTTCCTATAAAAACTTATTGTGTCTTACATAGCAACACACACAATGACATACATACATATTTTTAAGTATGGATATGCGCACTTAACCATAGGACCACCATGGCAGCGGCTACTAATTGCCACCAATCCCACTGCATTTATTCCATAATTCTCTATTTAAAGCTGAATTGCATACGACGCTGCATGAAAAAGCATTCTTACAAGTGCATACATACATACAACCATACAAAGCATGGAAACGAAAATATGCAAGTAAGCAGATGCATATGTAAGCTTACGAGAAAGCACCTCCATATTCTTCGTGGATCTGATATGAGTACATCCATACATATGTATGCCCGCTTTTTTCCCATCTTTTTTTTCCCCAACAGCTGTTGTTATTGTTTTCTTTAGTGAAGTAAACATACATATTTGCATTGTAGAGCGCAGTCAGGAGGTTGGTTGGTGCCTAGGGGCCTGGCGGTGGTGGAACCTAGGGAAGGCAGCCATAAATAGCGCAAAGCAAACAACAACAACAATAGGGGCAGGCATTCAAGCCCAGCACGAAAAAACAAGTAAAAACGCAAACAAAGCTTCCGCGCTTGGGCTGACGACTGTCAGGTCATAACCGACATAAACCGCTTTTCGACGGTTTTGTTTATAAGGCGAGCGCTTTGCTTGCAAGTCGCCAACAACACCACCAACTTTCCGCCCATCACTTCTCAGCCGCAGTCGCTGACGCAGACGTGAAAGGCAGAGCCGCTCACTTTGAACACGTTGTACTTGACCAGAATTTCAGATTGTAGCCGCGCGCTTACAGCTACGCCATATATGTACACAGTAATGCATAGATTTTGAATTGAGATTTCATGAACGAGATTTCAATATTTAATTTGCAGGCATGACTGAGCGCAGCAGAGCTAAGCTTCAAATTTATGTTGAGCTGTCGCGCGGCATTCCGCTGGATTTACTTATCAATCGTCGCTCACACACTTCTATATGTAGAGCCAATTAGATTTTTTTTGCCTGGCATGATCGTCGCATTGATCAAAGTCGTTAATCAGAAGGCACTTTGAATATTTGAAGTTTTCAATTAATATATTCAACATTTTTTATTGAGCGTAAGGCCGTTTTTAATGAAAAACTTATTGTGGAAAAGCAACAATAATTTGAAAAAGATTTATGTAATTTTTATGGCTTTGATTAAGAATCCCAAGAATAAAAAACACATCCCAAAACCGCTTTGTAATGTATGTATATAGGTTTTGAAATATTCCTTCCTCGAGAATGATTTATGAACATAAGACCCATGTCACCCTCTCCTTATTCCCCCTAATCCATGGTGTGATGCGTTACCAAGCCTATTGGATAGTTTGTAGCCAGGGTATCCGGCTGTATTCTAATGGCGCTCTCGTGACACCGGGCTGAGGTGGTCTCTCCCCCAAAAATACGTAGTCTGCTGCACTCGCCACTTTGAGCAGTGCGAGCGTTTATGAAAATAATGTTCGCAAATAAAAAACCCGCCTCGGATAACCGAGAACCCTAAATATCATAGACCCCCTTCGGGAAGGTCCGGTCTGTCCTCAGACAAGACCAAACCACCAGCGGTGCGGAGTCTGTGGTCAAGCCAGGGCTGAACGTATGCCCCGTCTTCTGTGGAATTGTCCTAAGGGCATCGAGGTCTCCTTCC